ACTTCCGTTTTGTGTTTGTAAATCGATTGATATTTATGTATAAGAACGCGCCCACATGATGCATTAAACGTTGACAATAAAGGAGGAGATATTCGTAGATAGAAGAGGCAATTATCGTTATCATTTTGACTTCCATTTGTGTGCACTAAAAGTGAGTAACATCGGTCTATATATATGAAAAATGAGATATAATGCATAATAAATGAACCTTTTATGACTTCTATTGTTGTGTGTAATAATAAAAGGCTTCTTTTTAATACAGAAAATGTATGTTATAGACATTGTGCCCGGTTTGGTCGAGCCTGAAAAATACTACTGTAACGATAATTAACGTTAATAGTTGATTTTAAGGTTAAGATTAGGGTTAGAATATTGTATGTAACATTACCTTCCTAACGTTTTTTTATTAGTGCAACAAGCTAGACCTTGGCATCTGTTTCCCGTATTTTACACTGTCATTCGTATTCAGTTTATGAAAGTGGATGTCGAATTTCTTTCTGAGATGCATTTAACTATGGAAAAATCCAACGTAGCGATGAGTATTAAATATTAGATTTTTTTATTTAGTGAAAAAGTCCAAAATTAGTATTGCATTAATTGATTACATGAAAGCACTGAATATTTCGCAGCGGTTGGGTGTGTGAGCAAAATTGCTTAGGTAGCCTATTGCTTGAGGAACTAAGAAAATAAATAAATAGTTACAAGCTGCATAAACGCGTTCAAAAAAATTCCACCGCTTGTATCCGTAAACGCTTACATATCACAACAAACTTGGATTGTTAAAACGAATTACGATTAGAAATGCTGAATCAGTCTTTTCTCATAGTCAAGCGAGCTAAAAGACTTCAGTCCTACACAAAAAAGACCGGTCCGTCTTTTATCAAGGCTGGACTGCAGTCTTTTAAGACCGGTGGCCATCTTCAACTGTCGAATGATTCCAATTTAAGTACACTGATACCATCTGAAATCAAAGAAAATCAAGATATGTCTAGTGTTTTACAACAAACTACAATTTCTAATAAAATAAAACAATAAAATGTTAATTACTGTCAAAGCTCAATATGAGACTTTTGTTCCCAGATCACTATATTGAAATACCTATTAATATTCTCTTGATTTAGCATTTAACGTTATCGCTATATTGCATAATTTATCTTTAGTTTGAATTAAAATTAATCTTATGGTATAGATTCAACTGCATTGAGTGGATTTGTTGTTTTTATTTGTGTTTGTAGGAATGCCTATCGCTATCATAATTTCTGCTGCTAGAGAAAACAATAATAATAAAACGAGTCCGATTTTTACCCAAAAAATTGTCCAAATCGTTTTCGAAAAACAATAACTCAAAATTTCACTATAATACCTTTATCTTCGAGTAAAAATGCTCGGCGCAAAGTTTGGGTATATAGTACACCCATACAATGAGTATCCAATCAAATCACTTATAAAAATATGTGTGGTTGAATTTAAGAGGTATACAGTGGCTCACAGAAGAAACGGAACGCCGAAAAAAATGGCGAAACAGAATACCTTGCCATTAAGGGAATATCGACAGGTAAAGGTAAGTCAATTTGGTTCAATGATAACATCTAACAAAAAAGATGATTTTTTTATTTTTTTTAGCGTTCCATTTAATATGACCGAGTTGGAAGGCAATTTTAAAGACGGGTTTTTCTAATTAAGCTAAGTTGGTGGCTTCTAAAAATTTCTTGCATTACATATTGTCTAACACTTCATAGACCCACCCGCGCTTCTATGACCTTTTTAATCCTATTTGGCATCGATCCGCACAACTTTGTTCAGTAATCGATATCTACGCTCTTCCACGCGATTTGTAATTTTTCCCACAATTCGCTTTTGGTGAAAAGTGACCCAGGAAGTTGTCTCATGCGCGTATCGACTACGTTCCATAGGTTTTCGATTGGGACTGGGGTGTCTAATCAAGCAAAGTAATGTCATTATCAGCGAACTATTTATTACTTTGCTTTTCCGGAGGTATGTTTTGGGTCATTATCTTGCTGAAAGATAAACTCAATATCCTCCAGCATTTTCGTCCCTACGTCAATTTGTTTGCAAATCGCCAACGTGATATGCTGGTCTTTCAACGGTTCGCCGGGTTTCTTCCAGCAATATTTTCGGCCGTCTGATCCAAAAATTTGGTACTTGCTTTTGTCAGAAAAATTACGCGTCGCCAATCGTTTCAGTCGGCTAATAAGTTAGTCGTCCAACTTCGGTATTTCTTCGCCCACGCCAATCGTTGTTTTCTGTGTTTTTTTGAAGTAAGGCTTTTTTCGCTTGATCCTCGCGAATAAGCTGTTTCTTCGGAACATACTTCGATGCTCTCCGCCGAAAGGTTAACCTCTAACTCATTTTTAAGCTCACGTTGGACTTTAACGGTGTTGGTATATTTTCCGGAGTAGATTAATCGCAAAGCATTTCGTTCGTAGCGCGCTAAGAGGGTTAGTGGACGACCGGGCTTTGGCTTATCGTCGAAACTTCCGATCTCTTCTTAAAGTATATTCTATGGACGGAAGCTAAACCCACCCTCTCTGATGCTGCAATTTCCCGGATCGAATATCCTTCCTGTCGGAGGGCGTGTATTCGGGCGCGTTTTTCTTATGAAATTCGAGGACTTGGAGGTAGGGATAGGAATCGATTCTCAACCCAGAATCGATTCTAAAATCGATTAATAATTTCGATTAATCGTTTTAAATAAATTCGATTAATCGATTCTCAAATTTTTAATCGATTCTTAAATTCTCAAATTTTAATCGATTAAAAAGTTTTAATCGATTCTCAAATTTTAATCGATTCTATAAAATTAATCGATTCTCAGAATCGATTCTAAATTAATCGGTTCCTTCCCTACTTGGAGGAGGTAAAAATTTGAGAATATTTGTTGCATGGTATGGGAAATGTATTTTATTTACAGTAAATGAGAATCCCAAAGCATTTGTACTTAGCTTTATAGCCTTCCATTCACTAGTATATTCGGTCATATTAAATGGATGAGCAAAAAATTAATAAAAATAAAAAAATAACAAATAAACAATGATTATTGATTTTAAGTTGTATGTAAACCGAAGTGACCGTAGGCGAAGTTCCAAATATAACGCACTACTTGGTCTGGATGCAGAGTGATTGCTTATTTTTTTTAGATTCACTGCCACGGGTAACGGTGTATTATCACGAAGTAAATGGATGCACTACCGCAGAGGTAATTATTTTTTATTTTTTTTATATTCACTGTCCCGGGTAAATATGCGTTACCACGAAGTGGATGGATGCATTACCACGAAGGTTGATGGATACACTACCACGGAGGTGGTTTCTTTTTGTTTTTGTTTTAGATATACTACCCGGAAAGAAATAATAACGAGACAAAATCAAAAGCAAAACGACGACTCCAGTTTTACTTTAAAAAAAGAAGTGAAAAGTCAGAGAAGAAACTTTGAAGAAAGAAAAGCTAAAGAAAACATCTCCCAGCACTGAGTATAAGTAGTGCTAGCAAGAAAGTAGTGTGAATAGTATTAGCAAGAAAGAAGTGTGGATATACTACCACAAAGACGTCTTACAAGCGAGAAAAGTTAAATGAAAGAATAACGTGACAAAATTATTACTTTGTAAAGTAAAAAAAACACTAAGAAGCCTGGGAATAATTACTGTAATAAATAATAACATAACCAACCAATCATAAACTTATCCAAGCCACACTTACATACCAATCATATCGTGTGTGTGATTTGCATTTTTCGTATCAACGTCGATATTTGATAATTATTTATATTCCAGAATTTTTAAAATTTGATATATGTATCAAATTCACTGTACTAACACTTGCATTTCAGGCGGGCACTGAACAACCCACCTTCACGTTGTGTAAGAGCTTGAAAGAAATGGCGTTGGGGATCTTCGTGAGACTTGTGTTTTTTTGCAATAAGGGTCGACAGTAATATAATACTATACAAATTAAAATTTTCTTCAATGTTACAAGATTTTCAACATGACATCCTCCGATTAAAGATAATAATGAAACCAAAATTATTTCGGCTGCAATAATTACCACTATATAAGAAAAATGAAACTTCGAGCCTGTCAGACAGTCAGTGTGCTCAAAAAGCCAGTCATTCTATCGAAATTTTAAACAGTTTACGATGTTTTGGTGTACATATCATGCAATTGATCTGTCAACTATCGTGTTCTATGATAACCAGTCCACGGAAAGAGTAGCTTGTTGGAGACCATTTCCGGTGCACAGGTACAAAAGCATGTAAGTTTATTAAAAATATCTAAGTCAAAATTGAATAAATGAATTTTATCTTTATCAATTAGAGAATGGCTATACATCACGTGATTATATATTACGTGATACATGTATTACCCGTATGGATGTGAACATCACAGATTTATAATGCAATTTTAGCGTTATTTTGTTACTATGTAACCAGAAGTTACGTACTGGACTGGATCATATTGAACTTATAAAATTACTAAATCCAGTGGTCCAGTGATGCAATATTGGACTTTATCCCACGTTTACTAATCACTCGCTCATGTGATTTCTGATGATATTTTCACGGATGATATAATCCCGTGGGATATTTTTCAATCAGCAATCAATCACCGTGGTATATCTTTTTGAAATTGCCACAGTAATTTTTATATAGCATAATTTATTTGTTATCATGTAAATAACTTAACAAATCAAGGATGGTAATTATAAACCTATGATAGTTTTTTTAGTACCTTTTTCTTTTTTTAAGGGTGTGGTGGGAATGAATTCTCTATTTAAAATTAAAGGTAACATTTGAGAAATGACAATTATAGAAAGCGGGCATTGAATCTTGATTTACGTTTTTATATTGCTGTAACTGATCTTTAAAAATCTCAATAGTAGTGGTAGCAGTAGTATTCGATTGGATTTCATGTAACAAGTTGATCGGTGGTTGAATTTCGTGTAATGAGTTGGTTGGTTGAATTTCGTGTAATGAGTTGGTTGATTAATTTTCATGTGACAAGTTATTTGAATTAGATTCGTAAAGAGAAATCAGACTCGATATACCCATTAATTTTTGCTGTTTATTAGTTAACTTATAGGTCCAGACCCCTTGAATGCTACGATGTCCAGTAATATTCATTATTGTTTGTTCTGGAATTTCATTATCATGTAGTATTTGTGTTGCAGTTTTTCTTCCAGAATGATTTGATAATAAATTTGTAGGTATAGAAATTTTAGTTCGTTGGTCAATTTTCTTTATAAATTTGTTAAGCTGGTTAAGACCATAACGAGTTGTTTTATACCAAATACTGGTTTCTTTCCATTTAGGATTAACTTGCAAATACAGGTGTTCATCTGCATTAATTGGATGCTTGGAAAGATATAATTGAAAATCGTAACATGAACCACAAGTATCAAGATGATCAGCAGGAATCGGAATAATTTGAGCATTTCCTCCATTAAGATCTCGTTGATTGTTTTTAGCTACATATCTAATAAAGTTGAATCCATTATCTTCTCGTTGCTTTAATTAATCTGCCTTTATGCGATAATATTCACCACCACGGCATGCAAAAATTATGACCATCCGAAAAAATACTCGATAAAGCAAATTCTCAGGTGTTAAAACTATCATAAATTCATGTTCAAGAATATATTTAACCTGTTCCAAATTAAGTGCACAAGCACTTTGAACTTCACCTAACCCTTTTTCTTGTAAATATCTCATTTTTCCATGTAAGACATCATGAATCTCTGGAAATTCATAACGGTTATGTAAATTAATTTCTGGGATTTTTGATGATTTTAGCAAGTGATGGTTAATAGCATCAAGTGATAATTTCAGGGAATTTGCTTTATATTCTTGCCCATTTTGCTGTTTCATCAATGTTATAAATTCAACAATTTGTCTTTGAAGAACTCGAATATCAGTTATCGTTTCAATTGGATTATTATAGCCACGTGACTTGCAAAATGGTTCCAATTGTGCAACCCAATTTCGAGTCACCTTGAGAGTATTTTTAACAGTTCCTTTAGATTTGTAATATTCAATTTGGTTTTGTAACTCTGATTCAACTTTATTTTCTTCTTTATTTACTAAAATATTTGTCAAATTAGATTCTTTATTTTCAAGTATTGAACGTGCAGATTGAAATAATAGTGTTGAATTCATTTTGTAAAGGGTAAAAGATAATATGATAATAATTTAATTTATTTTAAATTTATATCAAAACATTGTTATGATATATTTTAATTAATCATCAGAAATCACATGAGCATTAGTCTCCGTGGGATAAATCAGATATACCACAGATCAGCTTTGATATTATTTAATCATCACGGCTTCGCTGTGATAATTATGATATCTACAGCTTTCCGTGGTATATCTATTACATATCCAGTATAGTCCAGTTGACAACGCTGGATCAATACGTTTCTTGGGTTGTATTCGCGTGGAAAAAATCAAGCAAACAATCATCAATTGTTTGCACAGTGATTCATCTTGTTTGCATGGTGATTTATTGTTAATCAGTAGAAAAAAATGGATTGAATGTTAAAGAAATTTTTTATTAATCAGATCGTTGATGTACAAATCGCGATTTAAATAAAATAAAGTTCGTTTACTACAAAAATTATACCTACCACCAAGCATTCTTATTAGAGGTCAGTTATCTGAATATTCACAGAAATTTGAACAGTCATCACCTATAAACGATTCCAACATTCATCATTTGTTAATAAAATATTTAATTACATATCACTTATTGTAAAATCCCATATCGAGCCTTTCTTTATATATGATTTACCTGCCAGTAGGACAGTACATAAGACTTTATTGGTTTTGATTAAAACTCATTGACTCATATAAGTGTATTCCAATACATCCAACTTGTATGTGTAATCATTGATTTATTATAACAATGACGGAACCTATCATGCCCAAAGTTAACAATAAGTTTGAATCTTTAGAATCCTTCGAAGATGTTGCTAGATCAGTGGTTAAAGCTAATGGATTCGCTTTCTCAAGAAAAGATAGCAACCTTACTGGACACAAAGACAAATTACCTTTCATTGTTTTGCAATGTACTAAGAGTGGAGAATGGCACAACAACTGGAATATAACCGAGAAAATCTGAAAGAGAAAAATAAATACTAAACGTGTAAACTGCCCTATATATCTTAAGAGAGCTATTGCAACAAAATATCACTCGACTATGGATGTTCTAAATACTGAGATAATGTGAATCATTACAAGAACAGACAATAACAATCGATCTATATAATATGAATAATAATACATGTACATATTATCGTTATCAATATGTACCACTTTAATATTTGTAATAATTTTAATACAATAAATTATAGCTCTATATAAAGTTTTTAAAAATTAAATATTGGTTATTATTATTATATCAATTTTATTATTATCATAATAATTTAAATTTCTGAACTTAACTGATTTTTCGCTGAAGTCAACTTTGACTCAGTTGTTTTGAATTCTGTCTGTTGATGTCTTTCTGGGTAATAAGTGTCATGTGTTCGACTCTGATGAGTGTTACCTATATACATGTATTTCCAGAAATTAATGTTGCGTGTTCAAATCCTGATTTTATTTTGTTGATAATGGGAATCGATATTATTTTAAAAGAATAGAGATAGATTTGTTTTTCTTCAGAATTAAATTCAAGTAATTTCATCCTATATACATATATTTTTTTATAATGCTAAGTAATAATAGTGTTAATACAGTTTTTTATGGTTTATCTTTGTATTTCATCAACTTTGTGCTTTTATAAGTCAAAAACAGTAAGTGACAAATATTTTACAAGCATGAAAAAAAAGTAACACTAATTTGTTTTGGCTGTATTTAGATTTTAAGTTCGTTTGATCTTGCCGCTGTGATATATTTCCGTCATCTCACAATTTAGACTATACAAAGGTGACACATAAAGACTCTGCGCTGTTGCTTTTTTTCATCAAAGCCAAATCCGTTTCCTGTATTTACTATGCGTCACTGATGATTCTGAAAGCAAGTCAATTCCACAGTCACAAAATCCTTTGGTTCGACAGTTAAAGAAACCATTTGATGCATCCAAGCTCTTTCTGAGAGATTATGTATCGTGAGAGAAATAATCTAACAACAAACGCATCTCGATCACCGCAACAACACGTACAGTATCAATATGTCCATGTACAAACATCACCATCACTATTCATATAATGTAACTATTTATTGTATACATGTATATACACATACATTTTTAATAACAGTTAATATGTGAATATTATTAATTTGGTGTCCTAGCTCTAAGATAAGTATTAGTGAAAAAATTTCAATAATTATTGCTACGGCTCATTCAGGGCATGATCGCAATCCTATACCAAAAGAGAGATAAGTAGTTGAATTTTTAGTTTTCAGGAATCTTTCTGTTCAACTTTAAGACACACTTTAATTTTTTCTTATTTTAGGCTCAAATTCAACAAGCACAATATGTGTGGATCATGTCAATAAGGACAATAAGTATATCTTCTTTTACTATGGCACCTAAAAACAAGCTGTAACGATATTAGATTCAATATTTTGTGACTGTGCTTGGAATAATTATATTGCAACATTATTCAATTCGAATACGTAAAAGTAAACATATTTAAGTGTATTCGGCAAATTTATCACTTAAGGAATAAGGAATCATCTAAGAATTCTAATTTTGATCAAAGCATTTAAAAAATGGTATGAGAATTTAATATTGAAATAATTTATATACCTAGTGAAAATTATACAGCAAAAAATACAGATCCAATTATTAAATTTAATATATGAAAGTGTGTTGAATATTGAAGGTAAATGGCATGTAAATGGTGTATATATAATTGGTTCGTTTAACACAAAAGACTTCAATTGCAATATTGGTAAATATATTACATAAGTAAACGATAACAATTTCTCACTAAGAATGTAATGTAAATTAATATAAATGTAATAATTGTCTAAGTTGTTACGTTTACACATTCATCAAATTATCGATTGAGCATAGAATGAGATAAATGTAATAAGTAATTTCATAAATAATCATTCTTGTTTCGGCACCACTTGAAATACTTCATAATCAAAATATTTAATTCACCAGAACTCAACAGATCATGGTCATAGGAGAATTTGCAACAGTAATTTGTAGATTTGTAATCATACAGAACTAAATCACAACCGTTTCCGAACATTGGACCATGAGCTGCATAACATCCCACACTCCGTCCTTGCCTGTATTTGCTTAGAACTCCACTAGTAGCATGAATGTCATCAGAATTAAATTTAAATAAAAAGCAATTTAAAGAGTGGTAGCTTTTGTTAAGTGAATTCCATTCAAATGGATTATAACCACCAATGATCTTTTCCTCGTCTTTTACGCGAATGGCAATCACTGTTGGACCTTTATTATCACACAAATGATGAAAGTCAGTATGCTTATGTCCATCACGACTACCTCGCAGTAACAGCTTCAATTCAATTGCTTTGCTTCTCTGATTATCATCTTGTTCTTTAATCCAGTAAATTATTTTAGAGATATGATTCTGCGAAAGAATTGAAGAATCGATAGTTATGTTATTGCGAACTGGGTGTGAAGCAGCCTTATGCTCTTCACTTCCTGGCACCAAATAATGATGCGATAAATCTTTATAAAGTGTTCCTGGCAAAATTTCAGCATATGGCATCGCTTTGTTATAAAAATCGACCGAATTGATGTGGAAGAAACGAATCAAGGGTAAACAATTTTCGAGCGTGCACTTGAGTTGTTTAAATTCATTATGTCCCCATTTTTCCGCCGGAATCGTCAAATCAATTTCACTAGCATCTGCAGTTTGAACGATTCCCCATTCGAGCACTTTTTCCCAAAGGTCGATTTCAGATCATCACGTTTGAGTAAACAAACTAGAGCTGATTCATGGAGTTTAGTAAAATCAGTCGACTTAAAAATTACAGCTGGATTTTGACATGTAATATCTGTGCAAAACTCGTGAAGTTTGGTAAAAGAGTTATGCTCGAATGCAATTTGGTTGATTAAGGCAAAACTCTGTGTTAAAGATTCAGAGTGGTTTTCGAGAAGATAGATTTGAATATATTCAATCAGATCTTCAAGAATCAACTCATCGGCTGCGACTAATAAATCCAAAAGTGTCGAAACACCCTGTTTGGTAAATCAATTTTTCCACTGTAAATATATCTATTAAAATTTCAACCCAGACAAATTTTATTATTACTCTTATTTCGTAATATCGCTTCATTTTTAACATGAAATTACCTAAGCAATATTTCAAAAACTCGAGGTTCGATATTTGGTTTCTTAAAGGTAATCATCTTATTCGGCTCTCGTTTCACCCATGCATTCGAAAGTGATACCGCAAAATATTGCGACTGCGCCACTAATATTGCCGAGTGAGCTGAAAAAGTACGTTGAGTATTCTGAGTTTCACCAACAATAATCGAAATATCATAATAGTTGGAATTTTGATAGAATTTATTGAGTCTATTTAAGTGTGAAGTCAATAACAAGTCGGGTGTCATTTTTTTTCTCTGGATGTTTATATTATTGGAAGAAAGCGATTTTACATGTATTACATGTAATAACGATAACGATAAGAACCTCTCTTTTAACACCATGTACATCAAAACGCATGTGATTTAGCCAAACTTGAAATAACGATAACGTAGTCGATATACGTATGGAATGTGTGAAACGGAATGCCAGTTAAATTTATTTCATGCGTATGCATTTACATGTGCATGTACATGTATTTTGTTCCACTCTTTTATTAGACAGTCAACATCATTATCTTTAACTTTATAAATTCGTTTGATATTCAAGACATGAAGCGCAATACTCATATTTTTGTCAATTGGTGCATTTACTACGATCATGAGTATTGATATTCCCTCTTTAACCTTTGAAATGGGCTGTAAATTGTAGATCGATTTTCAAAACTATATCACGTGTACTGGCACATGTACGAAACCTATCTCCAATGGCCACTTTGGAATGTAAGTGGCGAATGACAATTTTGGCAAACTAAATCATACAAACAATAGGTCAAGTCAAGCTTTATCTTATTTTTGCATAATTTTTACCAGGTATATATATTTAAAATTATATACTTACTCAAGTTTTCATAAATTCAGCATAATTATGGCCTTCAGCCAATCAAACACATGTACTATATTTATAATGACGTAACATTCTTTTAAAACTCGGAATAGGATTTGTGCAAGCGATTTAAGCTATTATTTTACGGGTCATGTGATATTTGTTATGTCCGGAAAGATTCTACGGTAATAGAGGTTATTGTTAAAGGTTAATTTAAAGATTAGGGTTAAGATTAAATTTGAGATCAAAGCTATATATAAATTGCCTTCCCGACATTTTTTGTTAGTCTATCAAACTAGATTTAGATATCTGTTTCCCGTATTTTTTACATTTTTTGCTTTTTTCATTTTCGTGTGTTAGATTTGTTTTGCCGGGCTGATAGAAAATTATGCATTTTTATTGGTTTGTGTCACTAGCAGATCAAAATTTCACGCATTCTTATTGGCTGCCACGTGACTATAACTTTTTTCGCCATAGCTAGAGTACTTTTTCGTCTGTCGAATGGCGTGGCGAAACCTTTCGTTATAGTTTCGTCAGATATCATTAGTCTATTTCGTCAGTCGAAGAAGCTAAGAAATGAGAAGTTGTCTTTATTTTCTTTATTTATCTGTGATCTAAAAAAGATGAGTTGGATCTTCTCGACGACGATATCAAGAAAATTGAGAATAGTAAGGTCGCTGATCAAGTCTTCCTTACCTTAACCACTCACTCGTAATCAAGCCTCTTCGAATTGTCATATAGACCAGCTATAGTGAAGGCAAGTGCCGCGACTATATTCTAATATCCCAAACATACACCGCTTCGACAAAATTTTGGATGGCCCTCATTTACCTAATACTACCTCTAAGCTTTTTATTTTTATGGTAAGATTGGAAAATAAGTCATTTTAAGTAATATTCTTGTTAGTGAATGCAAATAACTTTATATATGCATTCTGGTAGACCTTTGGAACTAACCCTTCAGAGAATGATCAAGTCTCCACGAGTTCTCTGATCACTTATGTGATATCAAAAAAGATCATGTGCACATATCATTTAAGGAAAACAAGGTTTTATGAACATGAACACTCTGCTTAATTATGTCCTAAATAGAGGGTCAACTAGCAGTAATATTATTTGATATCAATTAGAGATGAAGGAGAAGTAACCTGAAGACCGATTATCTATGTTAAGTTGCATGCTTATTGAAGAGATGTATCCTCATATACAAATCAGTCAGAAATGTAACGTTAGGTGTTTTTGGCTATTATATTTGCGATCATGTGAAACTCATCTTTTGCAAGTATCCTAGATTCTGTGTTTCTTAGCGGATATCACCAGATCAATGAACATTATGATAATTATTATGAAGCAATCATAAACTAGTGAAAACTGTTAACTGATGGAATGATGTTGTGTTGAAGGATAAAGTGGATGTTGAGAAGCTCCTGGTTACGAAGAAAAGTGAGAATCGTGATCTGAACTTAGTTTCTCCCATGCAATCTTGCGTTCATTTTTGTATTTATTTTCTAGTTTTAATTTTCGTGTTTGTCCCAATTTATTGAGAAATAATAAAGTTTTCATTTATGTTCTGTCAACCCGCTTTTCATTTCACTATGTGTGATATAGTGTGGAGTATATGCATGTCTCAAAAATAAAACTGAATATTGTTCATGATTAAATCTCAGAAGATTATCCTACTTTTTCCTCACACACTGTTCAGAAAAGAATAAGTAATGACTGGTATAGATTAAGCATTCTGTTTTTTCTGCTTTGAATATTAGACGGAGGTCTAACAGCAGAAAAGCTTTCAAAATAAGTATTAGATGAGAGTAAAAAAATTGGAACCTCCACAAATCAGTGAATGAATCGAATTGTGTATTTCAAATTACGTCTAGGTATAACAAGAAATATTTTCTCTGTAAGAAGCAGGTATCACATGGTTTGAATTTATATGCACCACCAATCGAATTTGTCATACAACAAGCTACGTACGTACGTAGTACATGTATCAATATACATGTAGGATATGCAAAAGCACTTGGAAAATAGTCAACACAGTTGATTAATACCATATACATGTATTCGTTAATTATGAGTAGATTTTTCAACTAATCATTTTTCTTTGTATTAATTTTTTCCTGTAATCATTTTTCTGTATTCATTTCTTCTTACATGTATATACCGTAAACGCTCTGTATATTCTCCCCCCCCCCCTTGTAAAGTACTTTCCGGTTTATGCACGGATATTTTTATGGTGTGTATTTTTATTTATATATTATATATTTAAATTAACAATGACGAGAAAGAAACTATCATCTATTATTAGCGTTGAAAATAAAAATTTCGCCAGATATCCCACAACATTTAAATGAACGTTTAATTAAATTTGGATCAAGAGACACCCACGCAATTTTTATCCATTTAGCGAGTAATGAATATGAAGGTTTTTTTTAATACAGTTTGAAGGTGTAAGCTCATGAATTTCTTCTGACATTCATTGATTATAGTGCATGGACCTTTTAAAATTAATTTTTAAATATGTATATAACGATAAAATAAACAAAATATAATAGTTAAATTTATATACCTTCATCTTAAAACTTTTGTTAATAGCAACATCTAATGGTTGCAGTTTAGATGTTAGCCCTCCAGAATTACAGCAAGATCTGTATTATTTTCAATAAGTTTATGTTTAACCGAATCAACTAAATGTGCACGAAAGGAATCAAAAACTAAAAGGGAATGTGGATTACTTAGGTAGTCTTTTAGTTCAAATATTTACAACTCACCAAAACATTTCTTCTTCATTAACCCAACCTTTTTCATTTACACGAATAAATACATTTCTCGAGGTATTTTTTTAGTTTAAAAATACAAAATGGAGGTAATTTTGTCCCATCGGCCATGCATCCAAGAACAACAGTGAAATTTTTTTTCTTTCATTACCGTAGTTCGAAGACTAATCGTGCGGGCGCCAGTTTATTAATAGTTGGATTTGGTAAATCAAAGGCAAGGGGAGTCTCGTCCATATTTCCAATTGAAGATAAAGGGTAATTATATTGAATATGTTGATTTAAAATAAAGTAAGAAAACTTTTGTTTTTTTCTTCTAAATTCTCAGGTAAATGTTGTGCAATAGTTGTATGATGTCGGTTTGACAAATTACATTGATATAAAAACCATCAATTCGAAAATTTAAAATTTTGTATATCCGATAGATTCCGGAAATCAGTACTCCGAGCAAGTGAAAATGCCTTCGTAATCACCAATGTTTTAGTAACAGGATTTTGTAATTGCCGTTGTTTATTGATCCAATCAGATAAGACTTCTTTTAATTGTGGATACTTGGGTAATTTTTCTTTATGTAATTTAAAAGTCTTTAGAGATGTTTTAATTAGGTCATTTTTTTATTTATCCATTTCCGAAATCGCTTGGGCATGATATTAAATTTTTTACTTATTTCATGAATAGAAGTTTCATTTTTATTTTTTTATAATACATAACAATCTTTAATTTTCTTGAGCACACCAATCAGGTTCTTCGTAATTTTTTTGTTGTGCGTGCTTTAAAGCACTTCCATTCCTGATTACGGCCATTTCAAATGAATATATTCATCAAAAAATGTCAAATATTTACATTTCCTCAGATATAAATAACTAAATTTTCTTACGAATACAATTATACATACGTAGATTAATTTAATACTTTGCAAAACAATAATGATAAAACCAGAACATAATAATAAGAATTTTTAAGAATATCGTATACATAATAAGACTTTTAAATACGGCACAAAGAATTGTTAAGAATAATTAAATTATTCAATTCTTTTGTTTAAGTAGATGAGATTCATTATTTGTAAAAATTACATTGTAAAAACTACGTGAATCTCGCAATTCAAATTTTATTTATATGTATTTCTAACGCTAATACATGTACGTACATAGATGATATGTACGTAGTTTCTTTTTTCGTTTGTTAATTTAAGTGATATAAATCTATAAATAAAAATACGCACCACAAAAATGTCCGTGCATAACCGGAAAGTACTTTACAGGGAGGGGGTACTACATGTATCGGTATACAGTTTTACGGTAATTCAAAAAAATTGATTAGCGTTAGACATGTACTACATGTAGTTTTGTAGTGGGTGTACAGTATGGTTGTTATGCTATGGTGCATAACATCTAGAGTCATCAAATGTTTGTATTTTATAAAATGTACATGTACGTATAAACTTCTTTATTAAAATGATATAATAGGTCCTTTCTGAGCATATACACGGATTAAATATTGTATTTACTTAGTAAAGAAATTTATTCATTTTATAAATTACAAATATTTGATGACTTTAGATGCTATGCACCATATCTAAATCGCCAATTCTGAAATAAATATACATGTTATCGGTGTTGTTGACGTTAACATGTCTATCTAAAATTGATTTTCATCGAATAAAAATTAAACTTAAACAAAAAGAGAAAATTAAAGCTATTATTGTCCTTTCAAAAATCGTATCGATAAGCAGAAATGAATTAGCATTTGAAGAAGTAATTGATTTTGTGGCGGAAGTTGCCGAAGTGAATGTTGTGCTGGAATGAGGTAAAGGATCCAGAGTTCCCTGCGAAGTAGACAAATTATTTTAGTATTTGTTTGTGTAGACATTTCATTTGGTGGGTTTGCCTGATAATTGATATTCAGTCCTAATAGTTTGCTGAATGGATTGATAAGTAACTGTAATTTGTAGGTTTAGCACTTACTGATGCAGGTGAATTATTGGTAGGTACATTTTCTGAAATAGGTTTTGGAGCAATGGTAGGCTTGTTGCCTGTGTTCGGATTTGTATAAACCATGGTAGTAAATTGCTGCGACGTAAATAAATTATTTTTAGTAATTTTTTTGTGTAGGCATTCCATTGTGATTTTGCCTGATAATTTGATTTGTTATTTTTACTCTGTCCTAATAGTTCGTTGAACGGATTGATAAGTAACTGTAATTGTATTTTTAGCACTTACCGTTATAATTGTTAATGGTGGTGGGATTTCCGTTGTTACTGGCGGTGGTAGGATTTCTGTTGATATTTCTGACGGGGATGTAGTAGCCGATGTCGTTGTCGTTGTCGTTGTTGCAGAAACACTAAAACAATATGATCAAATTAAAAATTATAAAATTAATGACTACGTACATTTTTATTCATACATACGATTGTTGAACTAAAACATTAATAGTGTATATTAGTAAAAATATTATTATTTTGAGATTATTCATTTTAAAAATTTGATATTTGGGCGAGTCAGTAAAACCAGGTAAACTTTTTTCAAAAATGAGTTTTTATAGACATCAATTTATATAACAACGAGGTATTACACTTTAAAGTTTCATTATCATTATCGTTATGGATGTCTATGAAAACCAATATTCATTTTCATCGGCTCTCAAAGACCGAAGAGAAAACGTGCATCGGTTCGTTTTGATTGTTTGGTGGAGTTTAATTTAAAATCCTTGTCAGACAGAATTTTCTCAGTTTCAATCGCTATTAATAATAACGATAGATTAAAAAATGATAAATAGAAAAGAGTAATTTTTTGAATGCAAGTACAAATCATTGGAATTCTAGTTCTTATTGGCTTAATTATGATGCATAAAACACATACATGTAGATTTCATATGATACATGCATATGTACATGTATTTTGTAACTTTGTTCCACTCTTTTACCTGCCTGTACGTATTTTACAGTTCGATATCATTATCTTCAATGTAATTCGTTTGTGATACCGATACTGTTACCGATTATAGAATTAGCTACTAACGCTGATCTGTAACTTGGGTGGGAATAACTAAAGTTATCTTTATCGTTATTTTATTTATTAGATTTCCAAAGTCCTGTGCCAATATTGTTGTATTCAATTATCGGTTTGGTTTCATTCACGTGTTTCACAAATGTTAACAATGCGTTCACTTTTCTGGACCAAAAGCGTAAACCCTTTAAATCGTAGTCGTTACGGTTATCAAAATAATTATCTCACTTTTCTGGATCAAAGTGGCAAACCTTTTTACAACAATGGATTAATTATTGGGATGGAGGATGAAAAGGCACCATAAGAACTTATTGTACACAAGTAATTATTTATTGCTTTATTGCCTATTCTTTGTCTGTCTCTCTTTTTAATCGCGCTTTCTCACTCTCATTATATACATTTTTGATTCTCATTTATGATGTAATTTATGGTGGAATTTACAGTGGAATTTGCCATGGAATTTGAAATGATCAATGTAAATAAAGAAATAAGAAGGAAAAAGAAAACAATGTGTTTCTAAAAAAAGATTTAGTGTTACTAGTGTAATATTGTCCTTGATTTGAAAGTTTTTATTTTTTACGAAATACAAATATAATATTAAAAACAAGAAAAGAATATAAAAGATAATTATATTAATTAAAAATAGAATTCCAATTTACTAAAATATAGGAAGTAGAAAAATAAAGGATAAAAAGTATAGATTTTAAAGAATTTTAATTGATTAAGTTATATTTACTCAAAATAAATAAGTATAAAGTATAAAAAATATAAAAAATATAACAGTATAAAAAGTATAAAAAGTATAAAAGTATAAAGTAAAAAAATAGAAATATAATTAATAATATATGACAAAATTATAAAGTATTCTAAGTTTTTTACATGATTTCATAATTTTGTAGAATTTTACAAATTATAGAATCAATGATTTTTATAATATAATTGTAACAGTATCTTCATTATATTTTTCAATTAATTTATCTTTACTAATTAATTCAGTATTAATATTAATAATATATATTTAATGAAATAAAGTATCTGTTACTACATTATTTTTTTCAGATTTATATTTTACATCAAAGTTATTGGTTTATAGAGTTTCTAATTAGTATATTTATCTTTTGGATTTTGATATATTTAAATAAAGCATAATTAATTACTATAGTAAACTTTTGATCTTTCAAATATAATTTTCAAAGTCTAATTATATATATGATTGCTAATAATTTTTTTTCATGAATTGAATATTTTAGTTCAATTAAAATAAGTTTTTTTGACTCATAAGTAATTGGTTATTTATCTTTATCTTGATTTTGACTTAATACTGCTCCAATAGCATATTTTAAAATATTAATTATCACTGTAAAAGATAATTTTGAATCAAATTGATACTAAGGTTAAATATTATTTCAAAGTTTCAAAAACTTGTTGTTTTGCTTTTTGCCAATTATATTCTTGATCTTTATATAAAAAATTTGTCAATAATAATACTATTACTAAAAAGTTTTGTACAAATTTATAATAATAACTTACTAATTCTAGAAATAATCTCAATTTAAATATATTATTACAGCAATTCTAGATAGTGGATTTCACTGAGAATCACTATAAGTATATGATGTTGGGAGAGGGGTGATTAAACTTAAGTAAAGAGAATAAATTATAAATATTAGCAAAGGTTTCTAAGGCCTGTGCCAATATCTA